ATGTGGCGTTTTTATAAGATATCCACGATTTCTCTCTATTTGTAATCTAATACAAAAATCAATTGGTCATGGACTAAAAGATATTTTAGAAGCCCATAAAGGTCCATTTACAGGTCAGGGCCATAAAGGCCTTTATGAGATCCTAATAACGTCATGGCATGCTCAATTATCTCTTAACTTAGCTATGTTAGGCTCTTTAACCATTGTTGTAGCTCATCATATGTATTCCATGTCCCCTTATCCATATCTAGCTACTGACTATGGTACACAACTGTCATTATTCACACATCACATGTGGATTGGTGGATTTCTCATAGTTGGTGCTGTCGCGCATGCAACCATTTTTATGGTAAAAGATTATGATCCAACTACTCGGTACAACGATCTATTAGATCGTGTCCTTAGGCATCGTGATGAAATCATATCCCATCTCAACTGGGCATGTATATTTCTAGGCTTTCATAGTTTTGGTTTGTATATTCATAATGATACCATGAGCGTTTTAGGGCGTCCTCAAGATATGTTTTCAGATACCGCTATACAATTACAATCCGTTTTTGCCCAATGGATACAAAACACTCATGCTTTAACATCTGGTGCAACGGCTCCTAGTGCAACAACAAGCAACAATTTAACTTGGGGGGGGGGGGTGGTGGTGGTGATTTAGTGGCAGTGGGTGGCAAGGTGGCTTTGTTGCCTATTCCATTAGGAACCGCTGATTTCTTGGTACATCACATTCATGCATTTACGATTCATGTGACGATATTGATACTCTTGAAAGGTGTGATATTTGCTCGCAGTTCTCGTTTGATACCGGATAAAACAAATCTTGGTTTTCGTTTTCCTTGTGATGGACCTGGAAGAGGGGGTACATGTCAAGTATCGGCCTGGGATCATGTCTTCTTAGGACTATTCTGGATGTACAATTCAATTTCGGTAGTAATATTCCATTTCAGTTGGAAAATGCAATCAGATGTTTGGGGCAGTGTAAGTGATCAAGGGGTAGTAACTCATATCATGGGAGGAAACTTTGCGCAGAGTTCTATTACTATTAATGGGTGGCTCCGCGATTTCTTACTTAATAAGCGTGTCAATTTAAAAGTGGACAAGTAATTAGGGATAAAGGGAGTAGTTCTTTCTTTTGTAAGTGTATTAATTTGGTTATGAAACAAGTAAATTTTAGGTTGCTTTGAACAAATTGTTTTCGTTTTGTTATAATTTCAAGGAAATAACTATTGGCAAAAGTGGATAGACATTTGATTCCGGGATCACCATTTAAGTCGTATTCGTAATGTGTGAAAATTTGTAATTTTATCCATCACAATTTTTTTTTATATGTGGTATCTGAAGTATCGTATGACTGAAGTTTACGCACACCATATAATCAAATTTGGGTGTTAAAAAACGAAATATCTTTTCTTCTACACATAACACATACATTATCTATTTCCTTCGTACCCTTTTAATTGATTCATACAACCATCACCTTTAATAGTAGTTTAAAATAGATTCGAAGTTCTACAATTCCTTGGAAATCTCTCAAGCTTCCTTTGAGGTGTTTGCATTAGCCACCTTCTCAGACACAACTTCATTCAAATATTAGTGGACGAGAATGAGGACTTGTTGATCCTTTTTTTTTAATCATTCTCAAGATATCCTTTTCATTTTGAGTAAGAATTTCCTCTATAAATTTTCATACATTTTTAGAGCCAATAATGACTTTCACTTGGGTCGACACTATTTTTCATAATTTTCTTTTGTAAAATAGGGGTACTAATAATATGACAATGGATCATTGTTCTATGGATTTGATACCATATAATTGATAAATGGTAATCCGACTCTGAAAAAATATCTACAATAAATAACATAAATAAGAGAGTAGAAATACACTAAAGTTTTGAAGTGTAAAAAATATAATACTCAAATTGAGCAATATTATATCATTATAGTGAAAAAATTATCATGTGATAATTACAAAAGAATACTATTAACTTAAAAAAATACTCTTTTATTTCATACACCTCACTATAATATTATTCACTTTTTATTTTTTTCACAAATTTTTTTCTTACATTACTATTGCCCTTCACTTTTTTCTTGGTGTGTTCTTCTTTCTTGTTGTAACTTGACAAAGTTTGTATTAATATACTTGAGTTTAAGTGGTTTGGCTTGATATTTTTTTCAAGTTCACATTCTCAAAACTTGGCATAATACATGGGAAAGTGGGTGAATCCCCATCGATGGCAAAAAATCACTACTTGGACTTCGTAAGTCATTGTCCACTTCTTATATTAGATTAGTTTAGTGTATGTATTTTGTACATATATATTGCGTTAAGTAACATAATAGATAATGGGTAAATTTTAGGAATCACATAGTTTTAATATGAAATTACAATATATTCCTCTTTAGTTTGTAGTTACATTAATCCCTTAAAAAGTAACACAAATCGGATACATAATATGTAGCTCGGATACATTAAAGAGTATCTCAGATACATAATAACATAAATCGGATACATTAAAAACTAGCTCGGATACATAATATGTAGCTCGGATACATTAAAAACTAGCTCAGATACATTATAAAAATAAACCGGATACATAATATGTAGCTCAGATACATTAAATACTGGCTCAGATACATTAATATATAGCTCAGATACATTAAAGAAATAAGGGATTTTAGAGGTTCTTAGAAATAGAAGGGGATATTGAAAATAAGAAAAACATAAGACGTATATTTCAGTAATTTTTCATAGACAATTACACATGCAAACCCATGAAGTTACTTAAAGGCCCTAGTGGGCTTCCATGAGGCGACAAACCCCTCTCGAGCCCCAAAATCAATTTTTCCAAGAGTAAAGTGACAATAATCTTCAAAATATTTCACAATCAAATTCAGTTATGATTTATGATGTCTTATATACTATGGATGATAGGTCATCAATAGTTCTACCTCTTCATAATTTTTAGATAATTTCATATTGGCATTTGAGAGAAATCAACCAGCGAAATTTGAAAAAAATTGGGTTTGTATAAGTTGTTTAATAGAAATCAACCGACAAAGTTTGATGAAATTTTTATTTGTATAATAGTGTATAAATTTATATATTATTGTATATCAGTGTATAGATATGTCTTATAATTTTGTATAATAATGTGTATTGGGTGTATAATATTATATATCAATTTTAAAAAATATTTTTATAAGAAAAATTATGAAAGTTTCGTAAATTATTGTATACCGAATTGTATTTTTGGTTAAAGATTTGTAAATGTAAATTTTGGGTTGAAATTTTATGAAAGTGTTTGGATATCTTTTAATCTGTAACGTTCAAAAAGTGTCCATTTTGAAATCGGACTCAAGTAGAGGAAGGAGGGAGGGAGAGAGGTCTAGATCTGTATTTTATAAAAATACCAACCTCTTGACTTTATTTATTTTTTAAAATAAAAACCAAACCAATTTTGACCAAAAGATTGACCTCCTTAGTCGATTTACTAAAGTAAATCAAGTTTATTTTTAAATTTTAACCCCAAAAAATCGACGTATTCTTAATTAAATGCCAATTTTTTTGAGGCCGGTAATGATGTTTTCTTCATTTTTAATGCTTGAAAAATAAATTAATATGTTTTTTTGTTTTTCAAATCAAATACCAACCTATTTATAATGAATTTGTTGAGGCGAAAGTTTGTACATTGCTTTTATCATCTGAATTTTACATGCATAATATTCATTATTTTTTTGTTACATTAAAACACTAGTTCGTGGAAACTCGTGCTAAGTCCGGGCTCCACATCAAAATAGAAAAATACTCCATAATAATTTTAAATAAAAGCAATAATTTGTGTCTCATTTTTTTCCCACTCACAATTCTTTTAAGATGGTTGTGTGTGAAATAATTTTTAAGTTTCTTGTCTACTCACCGAAAACTATATTATAATGACATTACAATTATCCTATCGGTTTCAAATAAGTTAGTATCAACCAAATTTAAATAATATCGACTTTACTATTTATTTTCTATTGTATCATCGTATTAAAAATATCATATCTAAATTTACTTAACAAGTTCTTCAAAGTTATTTTCACTATTTATGATGATACATTTTAAAGGGGATCAAACATAATTATGTTTATCAAATTGAATGTGACAACCTAATAATAAAGGGATAAAATAGGGGTAAAAATAAGATAAAAAGAGTTGGATTACACACTTCTCTTCTAAAAGGGCCCATATGTTACCAAAAAGTGTTTAGGATGTTATAAAATAACTAGTTTAACAAACTAATATTAACAAACTATATTTAAAAGGAGAACAAGAGAGAGCATAATATATTTCAAACTTTCCTATATCTTCAATTGTGAATGAAGTAATGGCTATTTATAGTCAATAAGTGATATACAAACTAACACTTGGCCATTGAGTTATCCCCTTGACCAAGTGATGACACCTCAAAAATGGGTGGCCCCACATGGCATTCATTTAGTATGGCAAGTGATGACAATTAAAGGGGTGACCCACATGACATCCATTTAGTTTTACAACACTCCCCTTGGATGTCCATGTAAAAGAAAAGTTGAAGGAACAAAAATATACATAGACATTCATAATACGTATTGCTTGCTGCCTCATTAAAAACCTTTCTAGGAAATCCAGTGGGACAAAACCTAGACTAAGGAAAAAAGAGTGCAACACATATTTTACTCCCCCTGATAGAGACCACGGTTTAGATGCTTAAGTCTTCGCATTCCAATCGTGTGTACCATCTTCTCAAGAGTTGAGGCTGGTAAAGATTTGGTGAATAAATTTGCTGGATTATCACATGAACGAATTTGTTGTATATCAATATCACCGCTCTTTTGAAGATCATGCGTGAAAAATAATTTTGGTGAAATGTGTTTCGTTCTATCTCCTTTTATGAAGCCTCATCTTAGTTGAGCTATGTAAGCAACATTGCCTTCAAAGAGCACTGTAGGTACCTTGACATCACACTTCAAACCACATTGGTGAAATGTATCACTGATCTCAACCATACACATTCTCTACTTGCTTCGTGAATAGCTATTATCTCAGCATGATTTGAAGAAGTAGCGACAATAGACTGCTTTGTAGATCGCCATGATATAGCAGTACCTCCATATGTAAATAAATAGCTTGTTTGAGATCGAACTTTATGTGGGTCAGATAAATAACCTGCATCTGCATGACCAACAAGATCTGCACTATCTTTGTTAGTATAAAATAGACCCATATCACTAGTCCCCTTTAGATATCGTAAAATATGTTTAGTTCCATTCCAATGTCTTCGTATAGGGGAGGAATTATATCTTGCTAACAAATTAACAGAAAATGCTATGTCAGGTATCGTAGCATTAGCAAGATACATAAGTGCACCAATTGCACTAGATAATATACTTCAGGACCAAGAGGTTCCTCATTCTCTTCTTGAGGTCGAAATGGATCTTTGCTCACTTCAAGTGATCGAATAATCATTGGAGTACTTAATGGATGTGCTTTGTACATGTAAAATCGTTTCAAAAATTTTTCAGTATATGCAGATTAATGGATGAAGACCCCATCTACTAAATGTTCAATTTGTAGACCAAGACAAAGTTTTGTCTTTCCAAGGTCTTTCATTTCAAATTATTTCTTTAGATATTCAATTGCCTTTTGAACCTCTTCTGGGGTTCCAATGAGGTTTATGTCATCAACATAAATGGCAATAATAACAAACCATGATATTATTTTCTTAATTTAAATACAAGGATAAATTGCATCGTTTATATAATCTTTTTTTATCAAGTACTCACCGAGGCAATTATAACACATGTGCCCTGATTGTTTTAAGCCGTATAATGACTTTTGTAATCTGATTGAGCATATTTCCCAAGATTTTGAAGTATATGCTTCAGGCAATTTAAGTCCTTTCAAAATTTTCATATAAATTTCATTATCAAGTGAACCGTAAAGATAAGTTGTAACCACATCCATTAGATGTATTTCAAGATTTTCATGTACAACTAAACTGATGAGATATTGAAAAGTTATTGCATCCATAACCGGTGAATATGTCTTTTCATAGTCGACACCATGTCTTTGAGAGAATCCTTGTGCAACAAGGTGTGCCTTGTATCTTACAATTTTATTTCTCTCATTTCTTTTTCGCACAAAACCCATTTATATCCAATCGATTTAACACCATTTGGGGTTTGGACTAAAGGTCCAAAAACCTCACGTTTGGCAAGTGAGTCTAATTCTGATTGAATTGCCTCTTGCCATTTTGGCCAATCACATCTTCGTCGAAATTCTTGGACAGATTTAGGCTCAAGATCCTTACTGTCTTGCATAAGATTAAGTGCAACATTATATGCGAAAACATTATCCACTATAATTTTCAATCGATCTAAACTTATCCCATCACCCGTAGAACTTACTGAAAACTCTTCATTCACTTAAGTCTCAGGTTTACTGATCTCTTCAGGAATATCAGGATTAATCAGGCCTTGAATTCCTTCATGAGACTCTTTTGTAGTGTCATCTTTATCATTTTTCACGCTTTTTTTTCTAGGATTTTTGTCTTTTGAACCCAATGGTCTCGCACGCTTCAGGCATGTATGAGATTTAAAAGTTATGACACTATTAGATGGCCCTATTGGAATATCAATTCATATAGGCACATTTTCTGTAGGAATATGCGACTTAGTTATCTTGTTCAAATCAGTACATGCGTCTGGCATTTGATTTGCTATATTCTGCAAATGGATGATCTTCTGGACCTCATGTTCACACATAGGGGAACGTGGATCAAAATGAGATAATGATGAAACTTTCCATGCAATTTCACTTTTAAGTTTTTTTTTCTCTCCACCTAATTGTGGAAAAGTTCTTACATCAAATCGACAATCTGTAAATCTCGCAGTGAATAAATCTCCAGTCAATGGCTCAAGGTAGAGAATTATAGAGCGTGAATCAAATTGTTGCCTAACCTTCTTTGGGGGCCCATTTTAGTGCGCTGAGGTGGTGCTACTGGCACATATACAGCGCATTCAAAAATTCGTAGATGAGCAATATTTGGTTCATGACCAAATACTAATTGTGACGGAGAATATTTATTATAATTAGTCGGTCTAAAACGAACAAGTGTTGCTGCATGTAGGATAGCATGACCCCACGCGGTGGTGGACAATTTCATTTTCATAAGTAGTGGTCTTGCAATCAATTGTAGGCGCTTAATAAATGACTCGACAAGGCCATTTTGAGTATGAACATGAGCAACAAGATGTTCGATTCTTATCCCAATTGATAAGCAATAATCATCAAAAGCTTGGGACGTAAATTCTCCAGCATTATCAAGGTGAATGGCCTTAATAGGATAATCTGGGAATTGCGCCCTTAATCTTATTATTTGTGCCAATAATTTTGCAAATGCCAGGTTGCGAGACGATAAGAGGCACACATGAGACCATCTTGATGATGCATCTATTAGGACCATAAAATATCTAAACAACCCACTAGATGGGTGAATATGTCCACAAATATCCCCATGTATACGTTCTAAAAATTGAGGGGATTCAATGTTAACCTTCATTGGTGATGGCTTAGTAATCAATTTGCCTTGACAACAAGCAGCACATGAAAACTCATCACTCGTAAGAATCTTCCACTTCTTTAATGGATGTCCATTTGAATTTTCAATGATTCGTCTCATCATTATTGATTCAAGATGACCTATTCGGTCATGCCATAGCACAAACGTATTTAAATCAGTAAATTTTTAATTTACGATGGAATGTGCTTCGATTGTACTCATTTCTACACAATATAGGTCAGAAGATAGGGTTGGTAATTTCTCCAAAATATATTTCTGACCTGAGACATTCTTGGTTATACCAAGGTATTCAATATTCATTTCATTTAGTGTCTCAATATGATATCCATTTTGACAGATATCTTTGAAACTTAACAAGTTTCTTGGGGATTTAGAAGAGAACAACACATCTTCTTTAACAAGTTTTGTCCCCTTAGGTAGAAATATAGTAGCTTTTTCAGAGCCTTCAATCAATTTCGAATTACTAGAAATTGTAGTAACATTTGCTTTTCTTCTAAGCAAGTAACAAAAGTATTTCTCATCTTTAAATATGACACGTGTTGTTCCACTGTCAACTACACATATATCCGCGTGATCGACTATTGATCCATACGAGATTTGGGGCATATCCATATTTTCTTCAAAAAGATATAAACAAAGTAAAATATTACTATTAAACATGGCTATTGGACAAACATTATTTATTTACAGAGATTAGAAAAGCATAAACACACCAACTAATACAAATAAATAGAAAAGAAATTATCTAGATAAGCGCGGGCTTGTCACTGATCATTTTTCCTTCAGGGAATACAAAGAAATCAGCTACATCCAGATGCATAGGCTCAACATTATCTTTAGAGATGAAATCTGCTTCTGCATTATTATTCATTTTATGTATGGGCTAAACATTATCTTCAGAGACAAAGTTTGCTTCTGGATTATTATTACCCTTTTTCAAGGATGCATGATAGAGCTGAACCAGACGCTTAGATGGTCGACAAGTACGCGACCAGTATCCCATTCCTCCAAATCTATGACATACACTTTATGAATTTTTCTTTTGCATCACTTCTTGTCTTTCACCCATCCTTTTATACTACTGGTCATTTTTTGGTGCAAGACGCATGATTATAATTTATTTTACGACCACGGCCATGATCGGAGCTGCGACCACGAAAGGAGCCACAACCTCTTTCTTGTTGGTGATAATGTGCATGATTCACTTCAGAGAGTGGCATAGAACTAACAAATCGACTTTCGTGATTTTTCATCAATAAGTCGTTATGTTGTTCAACAATAAGAAGATGTGAAAGTAATTCAAAAGATTTTTTAAAACTCATTTCTCGATACTGCTGCTGCAGGAGCATACTCGAGGCAGGAAATGTGGAGTATGTTTTCTCAAGCTTAGCATGTTCAGTGACATCTTCTCCACATAAATTTAACTGTGATATAATTCTATACATGGAAGAATTATATTCAGTTATACTTTTAAAGTCTAGTAACCTCAAATTAAACCAATCATGACGCGCCTATGGAAGAATGACCAACTTCAGGTGGTCATCTATCTTTCAAATTATTCCACAGTATAAGGAGGTCTTTAATAGTGAGGTTTGCATTTTAAACCCCTCGCCAAGACAGTGACGGAGAAATATCATAGCTTTGGCCCGATCTTGACTGGATGTCTAGTTATTATCTTTGATGGTGTCTACCAGACCCATCGCATCCAGGTGGATTTCAGCGTCTAGTATCCATGACGAGTATCCTTTGCCCGATACATCCAAGGCAACCAATTCAAGTTTAGAAATATAAAACACTTTAGATAAATAAAATCCTTACCTTTTTTACTTGATTAAAGTAGCTCGAGTTGACGGAGTCTCGTGCTGATAACGTGTTATAAAATAATTAGCTTAACAAACTAATATTAATAAACTATATTTAAAAGGAGAACAAGAGAGAGCATAATTTATTCCAAACTTTCTTATATCTTCAATTGTGAATGAAGTAATGGCTATTTATTGCCAATAAGTGATATACAAACTAACACTTGGCCATCGAGAAGTTATCCACTTGGAAAAGTGATGACACCTCAAAAATGGGTGGCCCCACATGGCATCCATTTAGTATGGCAAGTGATGACAATTAAAGGGATGACCCACATGGCATTCATTTAGTTTTACAATATACAAGTATTAATTTTTTATTTATTGAAAAGATTATTTGATTGGCCAGCAAAGTAGTAAATAGCAAGTGTAAGGGCAAATTTGAAATGGAAAAACGTTGAAAATGTTTTTGAATTATATGAAATTAAATAAAAATGTTCTCAGTTAATAATTTAATTTAACAATATTCTTATCGTTAATAACTTGATCCAAAAATACTTTTAATATCAATATTTTGACCCCCCCCCCCCCCCCCATCTCCACTTTCTTTTCATAATTATCTCAAAATTTCAATTTAGTCCAAAAATACCTTTATTGTTATTTTATAGGTAAAAAATATCATTTTTTAAAATAAATATATACTTTTTATTTAAACACATTTTATTCCTAATGTGGTTCATGCTACCATTAAAATGCTAGTATGATGCATGAGACACATGAAAGATTCAAAGTTATGTCAACTTACACCCATTAGGTTTCTTCTGCCAACTAATGAGTTTTTAAATGAATAAATCAAAATTAGTTATTATTGAGATTAATGTTTCTCAATTACCTTAACATGACTAACACATTACTAATTTAGGTAAAATTACCTAAAACTTGCTATTCACATTGTGCCTTCATTATTTCTTACTT